TGTTCTTTATATATATATATATATATATATATATATATATATATATATATATTTCCTCTTTGTTCTCTGTGTCTGGACAGACTCTGTGTGAGGACAGTTTGGTGTGTTACAATTGTCTAAAAACATCCATTTTATTTAGATTTTTCAAATGTGTGTATTAGTAGTTTCTTATATTTTAAAACTTTTTATGGGGCGGGGGATTTAGCTCAGTGGTTTCACCGCCTGCTATGCAAGCGCAAGGACCCGAGTTTGATCCCCGGTACCAAAAAAAAAACAACAAAAACCTTTTTATGCTCAATTTTCCCCTTGTCACTCAAATACATGTATAGTATTTTTATCCTTTTTTCTTAATGATTTAGCTAGTGATTTTTTTTGTTTTTTTTTTTTTTTGGTACCAGAGATCAAACTTGGGTCCTTGTGCTTGCATAGCAGGTGGCGAAACCACTGAGCTAAATCCCTGGCCCCTAGCTAGTGTTTTTTGTATGTTGTGAATCTTTTCTCAAAGGACAAGCTTTGGGGTTTATTTAATTCTTTTTGTGTTTTTTGACGTATTTCTGTTTTTTCACTTTGTTTTCTAGTTTTTGTGTCTGAGTAGGATGTTAAATTTATTTTTATCTTTCCTTTATATTGAAAAGGTATTTTGTGCCACAGAAATTAGCAGATATGTTTTTAGCTCTGTATATCCTTAGATTTAGATTTTTAAATTATTGTTTCCAAGAAATTTTCTTTTCGTCTTGAATTTCTTCTGACTCAGTATTTTTACAAGTACTAAGATGTTTTAAAAAATATTCAGGCAGGGCTGGAGATTTAGCTCAGTGGTGCTGTGCCTGCCTCACAGGTGCAAGGTCCTGAGTTTGATCCCTGGTACTGGAAAAGAAAAAAAAATGAGGACTGTCAAAAAATATTCAGGCAGAGCTGGGCATGGTGGCACATACCTGTAATCACAACACTCAGAAGGCTGAGGTAGGAGGATTGCTGTGAGTTTGAGGCCAGCCTGGGCTACAAGATCAAGGCCAGCTTGGAGTACATAGTGAGACCTGTCTAAAAAAAACAAACAAAAATTCATCTGTCGATAAGGGTAAAAGAGTTCAAGTCATCCATTGCTCAAGCTCCTGAGTTTTTTTTTTCTTTTTCCCATTTAAGTTTATTGGTACATTTTAGGTATACAATACAGTTCCATTCATCACTGGGAACTTGTACTTTTACATGATGTATCTTTGTTCTTATTTTTTCCGCATTCCCCTGCCCTCCCTTCAACTCCTCCACCCCTCCTTATTTACAGACTTTGTTTCCATTTTTTCCTTTTCTCTATTTTTTCCTTTCCTTTCTTCCTTTTCCCCTACCCCTCCCAGTTCCCCTACCCATTTAGACCTTTTCTTCCTAATTCACATTATCATTTATTCATTTTGATCTCAAGGTCCTGAGTTTGATTCCCAGTACAAAACAAAAAAACCCAAAAAAACCAAGAGAAGGCTACAGTATAATGCTGAAGCAAGAAGCAATGACTCAAAGGAAGACACAAGTTATTTATATGTAACTCAGCACTTTTTTTGATTTTTCTTTTTAAATTTCTACTTTTATTACATTATGGCTGGAAGGATCCTGTTGGTTTTTTAGTTCTTTGAAGTTCATTTATTTGTAGTCCAAGATTGCTTTGTGAATGTACTATATGGTTATGAAAAGAAAATATCATCTCAAGTTTGGTCAGATACTCTGAACCACCTTACTGTTTTTGGATTTTGCAGTTTTTGTTCTTTTGGTCTGCTTGTTGTTAGTGTTTATTTCTCCTAAGATCTGCAGTTTCTGCTTTCTGGGAATCTTTGCTGTCTTATTTATTGGGTGCTTACATATAAATAACTTGTGTCTTCCTTTGAGTCCTTGCTTCAGCAGTATACTGTAGCCTTCTCTTGGTGTTTCTGATCTGAGCTTGACTGTTGCTATCAAGATGTGTGACTGGGTCGAGGATGTAGCTCAGCAGTGTCATGACTGCTTGGCATGCACAAGGTCCAGAGTTCAATTCCTGGTACTAAAAAAAAAAAAAATGTGTGACTGCTGCTTGCTTCTCATTCACTGTCTGTCTGGAATATGTCTTTGCTCATTCTTTTGTTATCCTTTCTGCATTGTATAGCTGTGTCCTAGAGCCAACATACTGGATTTTTCTTTGTTAGCCAATGTGAAAAAGCCCTTCAATGGATGACTTAAGCTCTTTTACACCTATTGACAGATGACATAAACAAACGTGCATTCATTGATATGGCCAATATATTTGGCCTCAGTTTTGCCTTATTGATTTATATTTCTACTGCACAGCTATATAATCTTTTGCCATAGTCAATTTTATTTTATTTGT